GGCGGGGATCCGCGCGCCGACCGGTACAGCGGGGTATCGAACGCAGCGGGTCACCGGCCACGTACGAACATCTCTCTGCAGCCTGCCAAAAACAGCTCTCGCCCTGTACCAAGGAAGGGCACAAGCAGGCAGGGCTCAGCCTCCTCCAGCGAGGTGCGTGGGGCTCTCCAGCTGTCCTAGGAGTCAGCAAGAGGGTTTGCCGCGTGCACACCACTACCTCGATGCATTTACAGCATACAGCTTCACCAGAGCAGGGCTGCCCAGACAGCTGGGAAAGCTTTAACCCCCCCACAGCTCAGCCACACTGTGCTAGGCAACACTTTGTTTTGTTTTTGAAATTACTATCTTCAGTCAGGTCAGATCTTAAGGGTCTTTGGTGAAAAAATAAATACGTAAGCACAAGAATGCAGGGAAGGGGGCGGGGAAAAGTAGAGCCCAGCAGTGTTTTAGTGCTTAAATTCATTTCAGATGATATAAACCTGGGAGCAAACAGAAAGTCCAGTTGCATTTGACTTCAGCCATGTGAGATCACAGCCCTCGCTGAACTTCTGGAAAAGGTAAACACGGTTCACTGATGAAAGGGGACCGAGTAATTCAGCGCTCAGTTGGGCCTGGCCTTTGATGTGGGAGCAGCACACAGGGGATATGCAGGAGTCCCCGGCTGCAGGGAGCGCTCCCCAAGCCCTGCCTCACCTGACGGCCATAAACCTCGCCCTCCGAGCAGAGCCCTCCCGAAGGCTGGGGGTGCTGGGTTGGGGTACCAGCCCAGGCTGTCAAATGCCACAAGACAAACAACACTAGAGAGTTTGAAAAGCCTCTCCGGCAGCCGTTTGTGGGCAGGACACACGTTCCTCGTAGCTACAGTGATTAATTTCTCATCCCTGCTGGGCTTCTCATCTTTACAAAGCTGTGGCTGGCTGAGAGTGAAAGTTCAGGTTGCTCCAGGCTGCAGGACCTGCACTTCTCTCAGCCCACCTTACCCCTGTGTCCTGCTTTTGATACACACCACTCGCTGTCATGCCAGGAGAAGGCAGGCATCCCAGTGTAAATTCAATCTCCGTCCCTTACCACTCCGTATTTTTCCTAAAAGTTGCCCTCGGTTTTGCAGCCTGGGAAACACCAACGCTGTAACAAGGCAGAGGTGGGGAGGGTCGCCCACAGGCAACGCTTCAGGCGCCTGATCTCGAGCCACAAGTCACCAGGAGCGTTGGTACAAATCTCAGCGTGGATCAGACAAACCCTCACATGCCACATGCATTTGTCACAAAAATGCGAGTTTTGCTCACATCCCAGTGCAAGGCAAGCCAACATGACACCCACAGCCACGTTCACAGGCAGGAGGCACATCTGCTGCCTGCGCGCACGTACACTGGCAACCAGAGAAAAAGGAGCGAGTGCCTCTACTGCGGCTTATGGGACCAATCAGCTAAATAGCGTGGCTTCAACTTCAGCGCATCCTGAGCAGCAAGCCACTGAGTCCAGCTCCTGAGAAGTGCCACCAGTACAAAAGGAAAGAAAAATCAGCACCAGTTTGCAGAGCCACCATAAACTGAAACGGGAAAGAAAAATCACCAAAGGAATTAATTGCACTGATCTCCTCAATCCTGCCAAGAGGCAAACTGGTCCAGCTGGGGAGCAGAGGCTTCAGCCCCATTCTGACCTTTTCCCTCCGACCAATCCAGCCATCTCTAACTGCTGCATGTCTCACATACTTGCATTTTTACACAGCCCTCTCCTGTTACTTTTTACCTCATCTGTCCCCATAATCACAACCCATCTCCTCATTAGACATTGCTCGGTGAAGCTCTGCAGGATATCCTTTGAAAGAAATTCAGTTTAATTTAATACGAGGGAGTTAAGATTTTGTTTTCTTCCATCGTAATTTGTAGTGCTGTATATTAAAGCTTGCCAGCCGGCGGGCTACTAATATAGCTAACTGGAAAGACAGAGGAAGGCGTCTGTCAAAGTTTCCTTAAAATAAAAAGTTCATTTTTTTAACAGAGTTTCAAGTTTTCTAATAAATAAATAAAATCAAGAGTTACCCTCTGCAAAACACTTTGCTCAACCAAACCTACACTCTTCCATTCAAGCAATGCTTAACTCCACCTCAGCCTTCTGGTTATGTTGCTACATCTGACAGCTTTTTGCAACTTTGAGTGGCACCCACGCATTTTTCTGAATCAATGCAGAGAATAAAACCCAGAGCATGCCAGTGTGTCACTGCCAGCTTTTCCAGAAGGAGTGGGATGGAGTGCATTTTCTATGAAACGGCACATAATCCTGCTACTCTTAAGCACACTCACTCATCACAGCCTTTCAGCGATCACATTTAGCCCCGTGCAGTTGGAGCCAGAGACAGTGATTCTGCCCTAAACCACCCCGTTCACTTACAGCCCTCAGCTGGTACCAGCCGAGCATCTGCTGCAGCTGGTGTGTTGCAGCCAGACTGATGAGAACACAAGGTATCGCCTGCGGTAACAAGCCTAATCTGACTCTCTTGGAACAACACACGAATTACGATGGACTACTTTCATTTTCTGAGACACTTCAAAAGCTGGTGCCAGCAGGTGATGTTCTGCTGTTTAATTTATCAAAGCCCCTGGATTACCTAACAGGAAGAAAAAGGTCTTAATTCTCAAACCACCCAAACAAATTTTGGGAACAGAAACAGTTCACAAGTCAGAGCGCAAACCTACTTGCTCGGCAAGCTAGGTCGACTGAGCAAAAAAAAGGAGGGGGAGAAGGGTGAAGGACAGTGCTGCACCCCAACACTAACCTCCATCCGCATCCCGGCCACGTGCATGCAAAAGGCTTTTCTCCTGTATGCCTCCTCAGGTGGGCTTTCAAATGGCTGCTTTTCGTGTACATCTTGGTACAACCAGGAAAAGAACATTTGTGCATTTTAATGAGTTCTGCTGCAGGGTTCTTTTGAAATTTCTGACCCATGATGATTCCCGTCTGACCCTGGATCATGCCTCCTGGCCCAATTGGTTTGGCGGCGATGGGGACGGGAGCAATGCGAACAAATTTAGAGGACAAGTTCAAATTGGACGACTGAACTATCTGAGGCACAAGGGCAAATGTCTGTCCTTGGATGTTGACTAGGAGCTGTGCAATTTTAATATTCTCTTGTCCTGGTCCTTGGGAACTGGGGCTCGTGTTGGACTCCTGTTTGACCTGTACAGGCTGAATTTGGAGCATAACCGGTATCCCATTCTCCAGGGACATTCCTCCATTTGAAGCCTGGCCACCTTCTGTTGAGCTGCTCAACCGTTCATTTCTACCCTCTTTTAAACTAGCGCTGGGTAACATATGGTCTTTTTGCTGTAGCGAAGCAACAGAAACTTGGCTGCAAGCTCTCAAGTCCTTGGTCTCACTTTTAGGTCTTTCTTTGAGCTCCAACTCCATGTTCTCCTCCAGAAATTCCTCAATTTCCTCAAGCGTGGGCTGAAATGGTCCAGAGTCTTCCATATCCACAGCAAATTCAGGCAACCGGAAGTACTCCTCTTTCACTATTGGCTGAAGTCTCCTTTTGTCCCACCATGATGCAGCAGTGTTCCCCAAAGATGCCTGGGACAACAAGTAGTCTAAGATACTGTCCTGACTTTCCGCACTGGACGTGCTTCCATAGCTGGAGCTGAGAACCTGGGAGTCAGGGCTGGAACAAGAACAAAAGCTGGACGAGTCGCTGTCATCTTCTGACAGGGGAGAGGGCAGCATCTGGTAGGACCTCACCCCTGCTGTCATGTCCCCAAAGTATCCAAGAGAAGACCTTGTAGATGAAAAGGATTCATCAGTAGGCAGCAAGTGATCCACCATTCCTGGGCGATCTCTTACCGATATCCCAACAGCATATACCAGGCGGCGAAAGTTCAGGTGAGAGCCTGAGTGGAGGAAAACAAAACAGCAACAGTCAAAAGTCGGTTTAATCATTTATCTCCATGCTCTAAGGCTCATAAAGCCCTCTAGCTTGCAGGAAAGTCCAAAGCATCCAGTCTCACCGAGTACACACGCTGCTACACGCTTTGATACGTCTGTACCACCCCCTAAGGACTGTCAGGGCTGAAGCGTTTTGCAGGATTGCACCACGTATTTGCAAAAGAATTCTTTCAGAAATCGTTTCCCAACTGTGTGCACTCTAGATTTACAGCTCCCTTCCAGAATATTACTGGCAAGAGAAAATAAATTATGGACTTTCACCTAACAGTGAAACCTAGAGCCAAAGAACAGAATGGGGAGAAAAAATAAAGTGTTGAAATTTTTACCACCAAAAAAAACAAATAAAAAAAGTTTACTGCTGGTGGCCATAAAATGCAAATCCTTTCCTTATCTCGTAGCTTTCCACCAACCTTATTTTTAACTTCCTCAGTTCCACGAATATAGGCTAATCAGCATAATGCAACAATCAGTCAGGAGCCAAAAATATTTACTGTGCTTCAGCATTTACTAGGCGGATTTTCCCCTCCAAATGTAATGAATCAGTGTGCCAACGTCATCATCACCTGCACTGCCCTTAATAAGGCTGGCACTGTGCTGAGCTAATTACCATCTCCTGGCAAGCCAGCTGGTGGCTGCTTTCACCTCGTGCCTCCACACTCGTCTCTCTCCCGGTATGGAGGTCGAGGTGATCTGGACCTCCTGCCAGTCACTAAACTGGGAGGGCTCATGTGGCCCCCCGGCAACTCAATCCACCGCAACCCGCGGCGGGCAGCCACGCTCCCCCCCACCCCGTGTTGAAGCAGTGAGCGGGCAGCATCCCGCAAGCCCCTACTCACGTGAGCCATAATCCCGCTGCAACCCCTCGGAGGCACAAGGGCAAAGCCCACCCTTACCAGCACAGCTCACCGCAGCGCTTGCTGACAGCAGTGACCCAACTGCACTTTCCCAGTTAAGCCAAACAAACTTCCTAGAGAGGTTTCTGGGGAGGGAGGCAGGAGGGGCATCTGAGTATTTGTTTTCCTTTCCCCCCCCTCCAGAGGAAAAACTAAAAAAAAAAATTGCTTACAGAGGGAGACTATGCCTCTTAGAGAGCAAACACCGAGACCTCCGGACGGAGCAAACACTGGCCCTCAGTCATTCGCTCAAGGTGACTGATTGAAAACAGAGCTGTATATGCGCATGATAAACCAACTCTTTCTGTGGAAGGTATGTGGACTGCAGAGATAGAAGTCATTTGATCAGCCTATGAGGTTTTGTGTGTGTGTGAATTGGGAGGCATGTGACCCAGCGCGAAGGAAATGCCAGTCAATCTTGTTACACACTGTCATTTTCCACAGGCTCTGCCGCTGCGCTTAGGACGCCTTGCCATGAATAGTCAATAGCTCCCAGTTTCGTGCAGGGAAGGGGATGGTTGTTATTGCTATTGCAGAGCATCCTTGCTGCCTGATCTCCAAAATTTGCCCAGTCTTTCCCTTCACTGGAGAAAAATCAAAAGGCATCTACATGCTCAGTGCTGCAGCAAAGGCAGCGCGAGATGTTTTACACACCACCTTTAAAGCACTCCGTCCCATTGGCAGCATCTATTAATGTTTCACAGGAAACGGGGGGGAAAAAATGTATTTCTTAAAGATACAGCTTCCTCCTTTATCTGCACACAGAGGAAGTAGGGGAAGGTTGAAAGAAAGACTTAAAAGTAAGATTGCACATTTTCCTGGTATGCATGGCCTGTCAGTCAGCTGTGCCTCTGAACTGATAATGAAATACCCACGTGTCGAACACAAGGAAGTTCAAACAGAGGTTAGTGGCTCTGTTTTGTGACCTTAGCCTATAATCATTTCTTATAGTAAAAGTGAAGAGTCAGAAGAGCTGAACTATTTCTAACACACAGGACTTTTTCTTTTTTTAAACCTCTGTGTTGACAGAAAGTTCCTCCAGCGGAAGTCCCAAAGCTAAGGCATTCCCAGTTTTGAAACAGAAAACACAATGTGTTCTGAGAAGTTCGTATTGGTTTCCAGTAAGAATTCACCCAAGTATCTTGTTTCTACCTTGCACCAAAAACTGGCGACAGTCTTGTGAAACGGGGGGCAGAAAGGAGGCCTTGCCCTCAGATGGTTTCTGATCCTCCCTCCCATGTCTGCATTGTTCCACCCTGAACTTCTGAAGAATGGTGCTGTGAGAGAAATCTGGACTGCAAAGTGGTTTTTACTCTAAGGAAAGCTGGCATGCTCTGTGCATGTGGGGAAAGAGCCTGCACCAAAAGCAGCTGGTAAGGTGTTGGGTTTTTTTTAAAAAAAAACAAAAAAAAAGTTCACATTTTCCTTAAATGGCTGCAAGAACTAGGAAACCACATATCAAAATATCCATATATTCCACTGGGAATAAAACTAAACCTTAACTTGAGTAAAGGCTGAAAGGAGAGGAAAAAACCCCAACAAACTCCTAGCAAGTGGGGTGAGCAATGTCCCTCAGCAGAAAACAGCCAGCATGTTTATTTCCCCATCTCTTTTGACAAGCAGCAATGTCCCTTGGTGTAACCAGAGTCATCTTAAGAAGAGAGAACTGTCAGAGGCAAATAGATCCAGGCACATCGTGGGCCAGATCTGCTTTCTGTGCGCTCTCAAAACTTGCAGAGCAGCCAAGAAGATTTTGGGGAATGCCTGGAATGCAGGATTGGGCCTGGGCTATATTTTATCCTAAAGGCCAGACTAAAAACCGAAAGACTTTCATCTCTACTTTGCCTGAAGACACAGCCAGAACCAGAAGATTAAAAAACAAAAACAAGAAAAGCCAGGGCTGTGCAAGCTATGAAAACTGACAACGCTGTTTACATAGAGCACTTTCATCTCTAGGAACCCTGAAAACACGTTAGAACTGTCAGCACCTACAGAGGGACCTCAGGGCCACTGAAAAACAGCCACTCCTGGAGTGAAACACCGCAGCTGTTCCACAGCACGTGGCAGTACAGCGGTCTCCAACTTTGTTCAGAGTTCCCTAGGTTGTTAGAACGTCTTTTCTGCCAGAAACATGTTGTTCTGTTTAAAACCTGTCCACCATATCGCCAGCTAAAAAAAGAAAAATGACAAAAATACCCCTGCAAAAACCAGAGGAGGCATATTCTGACTCCCAGTAACGCTGAAATGTTAAGCCCCGGGAACTCGCTGAAGCCCAGGGACGTATTTCTCAGCCTGTCACTTCTGGACGGTCAGCCCAGCGCAACCGACGGCACAGCGGTACACGGGCTCAGAGACGCTGACAGTCATTTGCTACGCATATGGCTACAGCTCTTTCGGGTTTAGGACTAATCCCTTTAGGGTTTTCCCTTCTTCCCTAGAAGATTTTAAATCTGTTCAGGCTGACTCCTGCTCCACGGACCAAGCCGTAAACCAGGCAATGAACCAGGCCCAGAAATTAAACTGGAAATGCCAGGGGGGGAACGACACACGTAAAATGCTAATGATAAAAATAGAAGCCAAGAACCAGCAAAACCCACTTGCTCTCACCCCTTCTGCAAGGTGGCTGCGCTGCTCCCTGGACACAGAGGGGAAGAGGGGGGTGTTTTGGGTCTCCCCATTTTTTTTCCATCCCCACTACCTCTAGGAAGCCACAGAAAGATTCCCAAAGCCCGATTTTGTGGAAACTACCCCCTCTGCACCCCCAAACTTCGCCTTCCACAAGAGGAAGGACTTTGTCCGCAGGGGACGCTGGCGGTGCCCCCACCCTCCCCCTCGCCAGGGAGCGAACCCTGCCCCGAAATAACGCGGGGGG